ATTGGGAGCAAATTGTTTCACGGATATTGTTGATTTGTGCACATTCATCATTCCACATAGAACGCAATAATGATAAGCCACCTTCATTTATGTTAAATTTAAATTCAGAATATTCATCCTATCAATAGACAAAAAGCAAAGGCGTTTATGTAAATATATATATATATATATATATTTGTTGATAGGAGAAAACAACAGAGGTGTTTATCATTTCATATAAGTTTTATCAGACATTTTCCCCAATGCGATCACAACTTTTTGTTTTCAACCGGTTACACACTCGCAAGCCTAAACCATATTTCACTACCGGATAGCTGACACGCAGCTAAGATATACCACAGGACAATATGTAAACAGATTATAATTCCGGCTGGAATAATAATAATAATAAAATAAGCATGAGTATTTTTATTATTATTACTATAAAATAAAAAGAAACCATAGTCCACATTGTAGAGAGCCAATTTTAATCAGTGGTAATGAGAGAAACAGGACTTACATCAGTAGCAATACTTCTTGCACCGTTAATATCTTCATATTCTAATACTTTATTTCTAATAAGAACCAGCATTGCAACACGTGATAGTACAGCAGGGACGCACAGGTGTTCCTTAGGTAAACCATCGGACCATCTAAACAAAAATTATTTTAAATTAATATATAAAAATGAAATTAAAAATAATTTTCTTCTACAAATCAAAGTTAATATTATGAGAATACCTGACCAATTTGAAAGTTTATAGGACGGTGATAGTGAAAACTGACAAGCGACGAGACAATCCTTTTAAATATCAACTATCCAAAATGTCAAATGTATCATTATCATCCTCGTCCTCAATCATTTTCCAGGAGTGTTCCGACACGTGATGACCTCTTTTCCTGTGTTGGCCGCTCTTAGTTTAGCATTCATATCATCCATTAGAAGTCTGATGTCGCTATTTGGGGACTGGTGCATTACTGTTTGCGGTTATCTGTAGAAATCTTCCTTCTCTACTTATGCCAATCACCTAATCATTGAAGGCGAAGAAGTCTGAGAAGGGTTCTCCGTTATCATGCATCTCGCCTCTAGCTCGATGATGAGTTATCTTCCTGAATTATCTGCTCCCAGTTTATCATTCTGAGAAGCCTGTTTAAAGCCTCAACAAGACCAGACAACTGAATATGTTTCGGAAATCACTTTGAAGTTTCTCGTAGACCTTGCTTTAAAAGAATATTATTAAGTCCACCCTATTTATATATATCTTGCCACACAGAAATTTAAGCGGCTAAATACATTAGGACACGTTTTAATCTTACGCCTGTTGCAAGTGATTAGGTGGTTAGTGTATCCACCACGCGTACAGCCAGTAATGCGGAAGCTAGAAGCAGAATTCATCGTATCCCTGATTATCAATGCGTTTCCATGATAAATTTACAGAAGTCTGAAGAATACATCTTTTTCTAGAAGAAAGGGATAGCAGATATCAATGCTATGTTTACTACTCTATGGTACATAACAATTTCAATGGTTGAGTATTTTCAATTAAAATACGTTAGTCAAAAAGTAAGTGAAAGAAGTCTTACAACTCAGACTTGTATAATAGGTTAAGACTTGCATCTGTTTTGCTGTGCTTTCAAATGATGACAGGTTATGTGAGTAATTCATGAAAAAGCTTCTTTTAGTCAATATACCAGGACTTAGGAAGTGTAGTAGACATATCTGATCATTTCACATACTAAAGTAGGTTTCTACAGAATGACCGTACATACATACTTTACCACCCAGTAAATAACCCGACCGAAAGCTGCTACCTTGACGTGGTGGTCGGGCTTGAATACCGCAATGACCTAATCAAGCTATACTGGCTGAGACTTATGTCTCTTGATGTCCTACCATGCCAGAAAGGTTGTTTGGATAGCGGTTAAAACAAAAAGCAGCTACCCAATCCACCATTATGATACAAACAAAATTACAAAATTTCATGCCGGATCGGCCGTGGCCCGGATTAACAACGACCACGTTTCCTGCTGCCGTGTCACAGGGCAGGAGTGATAAATATGCTACTGAGACACACCAAACAATAAAGAGGAAACAAAAACAGGCCGCGTGTGACCGGCCTCAAGCAGTTGTCCCCTGGGCTCTGCGGTCACGCAACCAACTTCCACGGTGTGGGTAGCCGGGAAGTAACAATCGCCCTCACAATCTGAAATGCACACGAAACCTCTCTGATACTCACTCATCTTTGTCTTCATCTTCATCTCTATCATCTTGCTTCCTTCCACTGATGCAACTCCTTGGCTCGATAGCTCTCCACTTCCTCTCCACTCTGCGTCCACTAAAAACGATGGAAGCCAAAAAACCACCACCAACAGCCTCCTAAAGCCACGCCACCAATTTCATATAGGAACTTTTAATGTTAGGACACTTTGCCAAATAGGACAACAAGCATCACTAGCCAAAACCCTGGCATCCCGAGCCATTGATGTATGCTGTGTTTCAGAAACACGCATACAAGACCCAAGTGTGGTTATTCACCTAACCCCACCTGGCCAACAGGTTGAATCTGCAAAATTCACCTTGAGGGTGTCAGGAGATGCCACAGCTAGTTCACGTGGATTAGCTGGTGTAGGGATAGCTTTGAGTACTAGGGCAGAAAAGACATTGCTTGACTGGATCCCGGTAGATAGCCGAATGTGTGCTGTCCGTCTGAACGGGTCAGTAAAAAGGAGGAAGGACCGCACTACTCGCCGATGCCTTTTCGTAATCTCCTCTTACGCCCCCACTGACTGCAGTTCAGATGAAACGAAGGATGAGTTCTACCAAAAGCTGTCTAGTTTGGTACGAAAGGCTAAACGCTCAGACATAGTCGTTCTAGCCCGTGACTTTAACGCTCAAGTAGGGGGAAATTGTGTCAATCTGAGAAAGATGTTGGTGGCACCTATGGAGTTCCGTGCCAGCGAACCGACAACGGTGACCGTCTCCTACAGTTCTGTTCTGATAATCATTTGTTTCTTGTAAGCACTAACTTCAAACACAAGGAGAGACACTGTTTGACTTGGAGACCCCCATCATCAAACCAACGCTGGACACAAATAGACCACATAGCAATAAGCTATCGTTGGCGTGGGTCGGTAGGAGATTGTCGCTCCTTCTGGAACACGTGTGTAGATACCGACCACGCACTGGTCCGCGCTCGTGTGTGCTTACGACTGAACGGACGTAGGAAACAGCTGGCGGTAAAACCATCACGTCTCCAGTTCGATCAGGAAACTAAATCCGTATTTGAGGAATAACTAGCTAAACACATATCTGTGTTCGACAGCTGTGCTCACCCTGAAGAAGCTTGGAAGAATATCCAGGCAGCCATAGATACAGCTGTAAAAGCTGTGAATAAGTTAAACCCAAAGGTGAGCAAAAACCACTGGATCGCCACCGCCTCATCCGAACTGATAGATGCTAGAAGGCTTATACCGGCGAGCTCCGAATTCAATGAGGAGCGAAGGCTGCACAAAAGGAAACTTACGAAAAGTCTCCTCAAGGACCGTGAACAGTGAAGGGTGACAAAAGCGAAAGAGATGGAGAAAGCTTCGAGGATAGGCAACACCAGTCAACTATTTAGACTCATCAGGGAAACGGGTAGGAGAAGACAAATCATTAGTGAAACAATCTCGGAGAAAAATGGCACTATAATTAGCTCCCAGGATAGACGACTGGATCGCTGGAAAGAGCATTATGAGGAGCAGTTTAATTGGCCCACAGCCACGCTCATCCTTCCGAATATCCAACACCTCCCTGAATGGGATATAGACACAGGTCCTCCATCCCTAACTGAGGTTACTAAAGCTGTCACCAATCTGAAACTAGGCAAAGCAGCGGGACCTGATGGAATCACTCCAGAGGTATTTAAGTACGGTGGAGACAGTTTACTGTCTGCATTAACTGAGGTACTAGGCAGCGTCTGGGAATCAGAAGAAGTCCCATCGGGTTGGTGTAAGTCACTGATTATCCCCATATACAAGAAGGGAGACAAGTCTTCCTGTGATAATCACAGAGGGATTAGCTTGACTAATATAGTATCTGAAGTCTTAGGCTCAATAATCATGCGTAGACTGAGTGGTGCTCGGGAGGCACAAACACGAGAGAGCCAGGTAGGCTTTAGACCAGGAAGAGGGTGTATTGATCATATCTTCACCCTCCAACAGATTCTAGAACATAGGCATTCCTACCGGCGTCAAACAGTCATTATATTTCTTGACCTAAAGGCAGCATTCGACTCTGTCGACCCAGAAGTTCTCTGGAGATGCTTGGCTGTAAAGGGAATTCCGAGAAAATATATTGCACTGATTAAGGCACTCTACTCGTACTCATACAGCCAGGTGAGGGCTCAGGGATTGACTTGCTACCAGGGAATAATCTCGTTGACTTAGAATATGCAGACGATATAGTCCTCCTAGGCGAAGACGCTGACAAAATGCAGAGTCTTCTAAACACCTTGAGCCGCAATCTACGAATGTTTGGCATGCGATTCGCTCCCGCCAAATGCAAGATGATGTTACAGGACTGGACTACATCGACGCCTAGATTAGAAATAGGGAGTGAAGTGGTAGAGCACATTAACCGCTTCACTTACTTGGAAAGTACCATCAGCCAGTGACAACGGGTTGATTTCTGACGAAATCTCAGCACGAATACAGGGCGCTCGTTTCGCATTTGCCAGTTTACGCCGACTCTGGCGTAGACGAGATGTTCGACTATCGACCAAAGGGCGGGTGTACTGCTCATCAGTCCGCTCCGTCCTCCTTAATGGTTGTGAGACCTGGCCACTGAGAGTGGAAGACATGAAAACACTAGCTGTCTTTGATCATAGGTGCCTGCGCTCTATTTCCTGTGTAAAGTGGCATAATAAGGTGAGCAAAACTGAAGTTAGGCGTCGAGTTCTAGGTAAACTGGGGAAATCAATCGACGAAGTAGTGAAGTTACAAAGACTGAGATGGTTAGGACATGTGTTGCGTATGCCAAGTCATCGCCTCCCTCGATGAGCAATGTTAGCGGATGTAGGGTCAGGCTGGAAAAAAGCTAGCGGCGGTCAGACAAAACTTGGCACCAGTCAATGAAATCCACAACAGTTGGTCTAAGTCACGTAGGAAGGTGTAGACTTCCACCAGGCTGGGGTCCTCGAGACGGTAAAAATCTATGGTTGGAAACAATTGGTGACATGGCTCAAAGTGATCGTTCTCAGTGGCGCAGATGCATCCACTCCTTGTGACTTATGATCTCCAATGAAACTGTTTTGTTCTTCGTTATTACTCCTCCTTTGTCTCACACCTCTGCTCACTGTCTCTATTATGCCTTTCTTGCACTTTCTTCTCTTGCTTCGCGTGCTACACGGAGTGTGGCGACTTGAACTTCCGCATATTTGTGCAAAGTTCTATATCGAAAACAGACAGACAGACAGACAGACCCAGTAAATAAACTTACACAACACTCCTACTGTTCTGTGCAATATAATTCATATATGATTAACAAATGGAATGACAGATTTTGATTCAGTAAAACAAAGATTCACACTACAGGAAGACACATAATATTTCCGATGCTCGGTAAAGTCGAGTAACTAGTTTCACTGCACTATATTAGTCTGAGGTACAAGAAAACAGTAGTTATCTGTGTGTAATTGGTAACCAGCGATAGAAAAAGTCATCCAACAATCAATAAAAATCTCAATGTTTACGTGTCTTTCGAATCATCTAAAGCATATCGGTCATCACATAGATGCTTCATGTATAAGTCCACATAACCAAAGAGATGAAGGTGAGATTTATGATGTAAAGCTGATGGAAGCCAATTTCGGGGCGGAATAATACCAGGTGGTGGAAGACCAAATCTATCGTTTTCAAAAAAAAAAAAAAACAAAAACAATCGGTAATTTGTTGGTGATGAAACTAAGCAACGCATAAACTGAAAAGTGAAGTGATAAGTTTAAAAAATGTATTGAAGAAAGGTTGTTGGGAATTATAGCCGGATCAAACGTCGCAGCCATATTAATAATCAAAATCTATTCTTTTTATGTTATGCAATTAGGAAGTTGTCGAATAAAACAAAAGTTGCCAAAGCTTTTTAACGTCCACAAATGACAAATGACATTTCAGTATATTGTGACTTCCATGACGAACGGAACAGATAATTGTATTTGGTGAAGTGCTAACTAAAAGTGAGAGCACAAAACCATAACGTCATTTCATGAAAGTGTTTATTAATGAACCACTCTAGACTCGAACTAATGGGTACACCATTTTCAACCAACACTAATAAAGGATATCAAATACCATCAATGATTGATCCCCTTAACACCAAGCAAAGACAATCAGACAACTTGAAGAATCTTATCACTCGAAGCTAGCTGTTCGTCAAAGAATGGAAAGTGCCAACTAAGGAGGACAATTTCGGAGGCATGAATATGTGCTCATCTCGGGAACTTGACCCATACATACATTCTGTTACGGTCTTTTAACCATTAGATTATTGTTAAGAACCATCCTGAATTGTTGCATAAACTCCTACACCCTTTTAAGTAAGCTTTCAACTTAATGCTGAGTACTTCTGGAAGGAAATGAAAAAATGTCGTAAAGGACTGGGACTCGCATTAACTGGAACAACAGTGTCACATGATATTCCGTCAAGTAATATTTTACTTGAGGACTCTATACCAAGAGTAGAGATGTTGCCATTTCATCCGTTGAGAATGCTGCAGTGTGTTAGCGTATGTTTTAGAATACGGCTATTCTTACTGTTAAGTTTACCATTTATAGTGGTAGTGTTAGTATTTTTTTAATTATTACATTGCTTTACATAGGGCTTCAAGTCAGAGCTTTGAAGTTTCGGTAGCAGTGGTGTTTACTTTAACGGGATGGGGTTGCTAGCCACATGTCCAGCCTTCCCTCTATACCAGTCTTATAACCAACTCAGTGAGGTAAAGTAGTGCATTCTCCGGGGATAGGACCCCAAACCTCAAATGTGGTTGGCGAGCATTCTACCGCTGTACCACCGACGCACGTAGTAGTTAGTAATCATTGTTATTATTACCATTACTATTTATCACTACAATACTGTGTTTAACCTAAAAATTCCAATTTTAATAATGTACTTATCAGATGAGGAAATTCAACTTCATCACATAATAGAAAGCAACTGAAAGAATTGTTTCTTAGACTAATCATCATTAGTCTTTATCACGACTTTAAACACATTGTTATCCACAGTTATATCCGTGTGCTGAGCAATTTCACACGACACACACACACACACATTTTGCATCAATAATAGAAGCATGTGGGAAAAAATTTTGCAACTTACTTCATAACTGCATCATTAAACAACTGACGATCGCTGGGTCCAAAGTTGTGTATAAATAACTCCCCTTGGTGCCATTTTGCATAATTACCCAAAGCACGAACCCTCGCTCTCCACTTATTGTATGTTTCAGCTGTAGGTTGCCAACATTGTGGTTTCAACAAATCAACACCAAAATTACCACTTCTGTTGAGAGAAGGGGTTGTACGAACAGGCTAAAATAGGGATGCATTTTAAAATTATGATAACACCTATTCGAACTTGAATTTCTTGGCTATCTAAGTCAGAAAATACAACACCCAGTTTAGTTGACAGAAAATCGATTTCATACCCTTTCGACCGGCTAACTCAACACGATACAGGCAAGACAATTATAGCAGCCATCAATACCAAGTAGCCTCGATTCTTGCAGCAAACGTGAAATGCGTAACTCGTCCACCATAGCTAAGAGACCACAGTAAGCAACATTCTCAGCAGGCCTTCTTAAAGCTACAGTCAAATATTGAAGCCCAAAAGGTGAGGACCAAATATGTCCCGTTTACGATACAAAAGAACAGAGAAGGGGAAACAATAAAAACTCTAAATCAGCCAGTTGATCATAAAGCACACCAGGACACTTAGTTGTTAGAGGTACTTTGATCAGGTGAGACGAGATCAGTGTGGAGATCCATGGAATGATGACAGTCACAACCCATACATTTAGAAGTGACAGGGTAGACAGAAAAGTAAGAGATATATTACAAGGTAGAATTACTTTGGTTTTCTCAGCGAAGTGGTCAAAACAGTATATTCGAGTTAACACCATATTTAGTACAAACTATAGCACAAATATCAAGCCGCCTGCCTGCATACTACAAGCTAAAATGTTTGCAGTTCTATTAGTGGTACCTACCTAAAGAAGAAACTAAATAAAGTTAAACAGTACTTGCCGTGGATAAAGAAAAAAGAGGTTGGACAAATGCCATTTGGACCGTTTACAATCACAGGGTTCATGACGAGGTAACTCAGAGAGACGGAGAGTTTTTGTTTAAAAAATAGAAGGGTAATATGGAGAAATCTATACTCCAACAGATCTCGAAAGGGTTGAGATATGATCAATACGCACTCGTCTAGGTTCCAAGGCTGGGTGCTTGGTTTCCTCGAGTTCGTTTTTTCAGAGCTCCACTTAGTTTAAACTTCCATCCTTAGAGATCACTTCATTCTCCATAGGTTTCTTAGAGCTCGTCCCCCTAATGATCCTAAATAGCTGACAGGTATTACATATTGCTGATGTCTTCATTTTTTTCGTATCACTATCTCTCCTTCTTCTCACTTATTCTGCAAATATATACATGGAAAGATAGACCACACGAAACATTCGACTAAACTGAACAACTTTCGGATGACTGACAGATTATGCTGAGACTTTCAGTACCTGAAATCGAACTAAAGTTTCTAATAATACAAGTGAAAACACCTCACATCTTTAAGCTGTGGGATTAAAACTAAGGAAGTTAACACATCTTTTTCCTTGATGAGAGTCAACAAAGAGAAAACAACAAGTTCAGCATGATAATATATCAATTTTACTCTGTCAGCTCTGGCCAACTGCACACAACTTAAAACAGTTTCAATGTACAAAATAATCGCCACATATTCTAATTGTTTGGTTTGAACATGCCAACTAAACACAAGAAGAATTAAAAGAACGGAACTACAGTTGTCGGTATGCTTGTTAGTCCATAGACCTCATTAGGGGTCAAATATTTACGTCGAGAGTAAGATTGAAAGCAAATAATAAATTAAGCAATGTGAAATGACACTGTCAAAACCAACCAAATTTAAAGAAATAAAAATGAAGTTCTCTCCCAATGGTATGGAAATATTAACAACAGTGTCACCCACCCACACACCCACTACATCCAAAGCACACAGGTGGTTCAAATGAACTGTAGTCAAGATTTGACAGAATAGTTCTATAATATTTGGGCGCCGAGTGAGAAGGTGGTTTTTAGTCGCTTAATAACCACGTCTTCGGAGATACTCAGTAAACTGAAGCTAACCTGTAACTCAATGATCTAAAAGGATTTTAAAATATCCATTTCGCGGGGTACTATCTATTACATGACGAGCGACTGCACTCCTAAAGACATTTGCACATTCCAGTCACAAGATCCTTGAAATATACCCAGACATACAGTTATTATTCGTTGTCTTGTTGATTCGATATATATCCCAGAGCATACGTATGTTAATTGGCGTATATACCATTGAAATTAAATGCGCTTATGACTTTTCAACATTAGACTGCCTCAGTGAATAACTATTCAGTAGAACGTGACTAACCTGATAGCAAGACAAGTCCTTCGGCATGCATCATTGATTCATTTAATTCGTCCAAATACCTCATTACCTTTGAGTTAAAAATTCAGGAGAGAGGGTTTCAAGTCATTCAGCTCACACAACCTAACCAAATGAGCTGTTAACATCCTATGTTATTTCCGACACTTACTGTCCTATGCATACTTCGAAAAATGGTGAGTTCATCAATAAGCCTTTCTTCTATAAAAAGCTTTTCTGTGAATGAAAACAATGTCCCTCATATGATCTATTTCGTAACTTATCAGACGATACTACGAAAATGAGCAACTAAGAGTTGTACATGGAATCTTAGCAGTTAAATGACACTAACTAAATGCCCTTTAAATTCGACCAGAAGTACCATTAGACTGACCATCTGGGTATCGCAAGAGCTATTTATTGTCAAGAAAAGCACTGAGGTGCTTACGAGGATGCGCAATAATCCAAATGATTCCCCATTCATCATTGCATCAGCTAAAGGAACACGGTTACTGAATACAGTCGCTAACATATTGAATTTCAGTAACGTTATCAGTGACGTTACGACGATACATGTGACTTTGTCGTTCATGTAGGCATACACTAACACACAATAAAATGTCAGTGATGACAAGATAAACATTGCGAATCTTATAAGAAAGAGTTGGTGCTAAAACCATATAAGATATAGTATCAGCCTGAAAATTCAGCGAGGGGGGAATAATCGTACTCTCAATCAACTGTTCGCTACGCAGGGCAAGCAATCAAGAAACTGATCTGTTATGACTGGTTCGGCATACTGAATAAAAAAAAAATCGTTTGACGCAACTGATATATGGCCTCCATAAACGACCTGGTACAGCCGAGGGTAGATAGACTTCGGTCTTCCCCCAAAAATAATAATGTCATATGCTCTATCAAAACCCTTTGTCCAAGTGGACTTCCAAACTTTTTGTGAGAAAAGGATAGCCTTCTACTTCATTTTCAACGACATTCATCCTAGAATCTTGAGATATCAATAAGCCCAACTAAAACTACCGTAAATTAGCCTTATTCGTGTCTATCAGTAAAGTATTTAAGAAATCAGAATACCACTGCAACTTATAATTACAACATTGTTAAGACCAACTCACCCCATTACTTTTCGATGCTTCGTCTACATCAACATGCCATCTAGGACCACATTCATAAGCGCACAGTTATCACCTAACAGCTTATCGCATGCATATTTCAAAGCAGTAAATCGCTGGTCCACAGGCTTCCACGGTCTGAGATTACTATGCTGTTGCTCAGAATCATAAGAATAAGTTTCACTTGGTCTGGCTTCATTTGACAGCAAATTTTTACCATGATAAGTAGAAGGCTGTATCCCACTTTCTTCATGGGGTAATACACTATTGCTTCCTCCTGAAGTTTCATTATCATTATTATCGGGCACCTTAATTTCGTTATTCTTTGTTTGACTAACACAGTTATTGACCTCCGTCACAGGACTTGACCTCTCGAGAAAAACATTGTGTGATTCATCAACTTCGCCGAACATAAGTTCCATGATATGCACCCTAGAGAAAAAAATATTCCACTGCAATCAAACAGTTAAGACACCTGAAGAGAAGATGATTGTTTGACAGTGCATACGCATCAACAAAAAGAAACCATCGTTTCACAATCAAATACAGATATTTTCGGCTGAAATAAAAAGGATACACATTTTATTACAGTGATTACATTAAAACCCTCCGGATGTTCGGCATAAAACTTACTATTTTACTTTTCAAAAATTAGAACCAAATCAGTGAAATACTTCTATAATACCTGGGAGTTGAATTTATTTAGAGCTGAAACTATTTATGAACACATTCTAGCGAAAACTGCACCCACATCGTGTATGAATTAAGTTTATACTCCGAATAATACCGTCGGAAAGGAGCTCAAAAAATTAAGCAATGCAATATTTTTAAATCAATTAATTAAGGTTATAAAACAACCGAAATGTACTAGTTACTGTCGTTATACAAAACAACCAAACATAAGAAATAACACCGCAGTACTAGGAAATGCGAAGTGCATTTATTTAAGATTACTCAATAATACACCCAGTGTTTCTAGTGGTTCATCTCAAAAGCAAACAATTATAATTCAGCTGAGTTCGCCAAAACACTACCGGAATGAATGACTTACGACCAGTCATCGATATTAGTGATTTCAGCACACTGAGCATGTTTTCAATTCTATGAACTATACACTTCGTTAGTTACTATATAAACCTACAAGCTAACAGTGTTAGAATTTTTCTGTTCCTTCTCACACACCTCCCCTATTCTATTTTCAAAACATGTAAACTGATGGTGATTAAACAAAAAACTATAATGCTTATATTTTGGATGCATTGATTTTGTTTCCTTTACTACCATTCAAATCCTGAAGTACGGTATTGTCATTATTCATAACCACTGTAATTCCAAGCTGACTGACTGGATTCAACATAGAAATTTGCACCGGTGTGCAGCAGTTCGAGTCGCCACAATTCACTCAGCACACAAAGCCAGAGAAGAAAGTAAGCAGGAATGCAAAGTAGAGACAGTAGACAGAGATATGAGGCAGAAAGAATAGTAATAACAGAGAAAAATATAGTTCTATTGGGTATATAAGTCACAAGTAGTGAATGCATCTGTGCCAGTCATTGACAACGATTTTGAGCCTCTGGAGGGATTCCATCAGGTCCTGCAGCTTTGCCTCGCTTCAGATTAGTAATCTGAGTTAGGGACCGAGGACCTGTGTTTACATCCCCATTCAGGATGGTCTGGGATGCTGGTTAAGTTGAGCGTGGCTGTTGATCAGTTGAATTGCTCATCTAAGTGTTCTTTTCAACACTCCAGTCGTCTATCCTGAAGTGCAAACGAAAATCCTTCAACGTATCAGCTTCATGCATGCAACTATCTATGAAGTCATTATTGATGATTACGAACACAATTTGAAGTTATTGGTCAAATCATTAGCTACACTGCATATTTCTAAACGCAAACTAAGTATTTCGACCACATAGTTAGGGATTTCAATCCAGTTTCCTCAAAAACTACGTTTTAGTCGTGCCAACTTCCATTCAAGGTGCAAAATAACGCGAAACCTACCCGTTCGCTGCTGGTTGCAGTCCACTCTTAAAAGCTTGGAAGGACTGATGACTTACATGCGCACTCAGGACAAGATTGCTCTACACGTCTACACACTTCCCCAGCTGAAAATTGATATGTTGACTTTTAATACACAGAACATTGTATACTAACTAACCCACGTCGGTCAACCTGGTACCAGACAATCACTGTCCCCAAAATGACTTATGAAAGCACTTTTTAACTTCCTCACCTGTTACTATATTTATGAAACCTGCATTTAATTGTACAAAATACAATATTCGCATACTACATTAGCCTTATTTATACCACAGCTGTGGAGATATTAATATGTAAGGAGAGCAGTCTTTACACTTGTAACTAAGGGAATATCGAAATTAGTTATCACCGTTAAAGGTGCCAGTGTATGGGCAAATCGTTCGCTAACAGGGATATATTAAAAGATGGGTATTTTTTCGTTAGCGGCGTGGGTAGGATGGGAATAACTGGAACGTGAGAATTTTTCGGGACATTTGTAAACGGGAAGGAAGCTTGCGATGTGGACAATGAGTAAATTAGGTTGCATTTTATTCACTTCTTCAGTGGTCGAAATTCCACGTCCAGCCAGCGTTGTCCATGTGCATTCTCCGAGTAGGCAGGTGTTGACACACGCGTCTATATCGTGCATGATGACATGAATCTTAAAAGTATCAACACGGACATTGATGAGTAACAACGGGAGGCACGTTATGCCGCCTACAACTTTCTGGTGTTCCTACTAAGTCCAGAGTAGATGGCGCGCTTTGAAAAAGGAGAGTGGCATTTTTCACGTTGTGAAGTAAATTCTGCTTTTGTTGTTTAAACCACATCAGAAGCTTTTAGTTCACTTTAACTGATTTATTTAGTTCAAGTGTTGTCTGTTTTATTCACATTTTGTGTTTTGGTTGGTATTTACCTAGCTGTCACACGTATATATAAGTGTGTATTTGTTTGGCATTAACCTCACTGTTTTGACGTATATATAACTGTATAGTTGTAACAAATTAAAATTATGGCCCCAACTAACAATTGTGGTCGACCGGACTGCCACTTTCCGGTGGATGATGGGATGCAGTGTGACAACTGCAGCCTTTGGTTCCACAAAGTTTGCACTGGTTTAACACCAGTAGCCTATAAGAGATGTTGCAAGCCATCATCTCCATGGCTGTGCAAATTTTGCAGCAACCCGTTAGATGTCCTCATCCAAGAGGCAGTAGGACTCTTGATGTCCAAGAAATTGTCGAAAGACATAGTTGAAAAGCCTGTACCAGAAACCTTCGCCAAGGATGGCGGTTCAGGATATAGTTGTAAGATTCAGGGTGCATCACCTCCTGAAGTCTCAGAAGCGAAAGAAGCACAAAATGCCCAGACATCTGTTGCTGCAAAGCGCAAAAGGCAACGGAAATCCAGAAGGGCAAGTAGTGCCAGCATGGCAAAACCAGCCTGTGAAATAGCGACGCCAAAGCGCAGCGTGTCTAGTGCACGAATGGCTTCTAGTCGCGGCGAAAACAGAGTGGGAGAAACGGACTCCACTTGGTTGCTGCCGAAAGGTAAGAAGCTAAACAAAACTAGGAAAGAAACAGTAGCCGAGTTTACCAACAAGGTCTCGACTACTGTTAGTTCCAGCAAAACTCAGAAACCCACGGACTCTAGTTACAGTATTATCATCTGGAACTTGGAGGAATCTAGGAACACAGATCCAGCTGCCCGACATGCAGATGATCTGAAGGCGATCAGCTCCATATTCCGGGAAATACTTCCCGAAAAAACAACTGGAGTACACGTACGAAAGGCTATCAGGATCGGAAAACGAAACCCTGATGCTACAGGAACTCCTCGACGACTACTTAAGGTAGTTTTAGGGAACGAAACAGAGAGGAGGACCATCCTCGACAACGCGTTCAAAGTCAACGACAAAAGTCTAAAAATAAGGCCTGATTGGCCTTTGGAAGATAGAATCAAAAGAAGAGAAGCCGTGGCTGAACTAAAGGCCAGGCTAGAGAAAGGCGAGAAGGACCTCAAACTATTGGGTTTTCGGGTGGTGAGGTCTCGGAAACCGATGCTGCCGAGATCTCTCTTCATAAGCCGGGTGAACACGTAGGTGTTTCGGTGTGCTATACGAACGCATGTAGTCTTAGGAATAAGCTCGCCGAATTAGGAGAGTTATCTGAAAGACTACAACCTGATGTAATTGCTATCACTGAGACGTGGTTGTTAGTGGGTGTAGACTTAACTCCACTCATACCTGGGTATATCTGCATACGAGCAGACAGAGTAAGTAGTCGGAAAAGTGGGGGGGTTGCTCTTTACATCCGGGATGACATAGGGATCAGGTCAACGTTGTCAGAAGCTCATGACAGCGGCACCAGTGAAGCCGCAAGTTGCATCATTAACTTAAACAAAGGCACTTTAACGATCGGAGTTATCTACAGAAGTCCTGCTAGCCAAGCTGATGACTTCGTTCTAAATCACTTGAGGGCGTGGGGTAGTAGAAATAGGTGTCTGATTGTTGGCGACTTTAACGCTCCACATATTAATTGGGGGGAATTAAACTCCACTAGTTTGTATACCTGTTTCAATAGGGAGCTCACATTGACAGTGCTTGAATGTGCACTCGTGCAACATATGCATGCACCAACACGGTATCACCCTGAACATGATCCATCTACTCTAGACTTGGTATTGACACACCAGAAGGAGGACGTTGGTAACATTAGGTGCCTCCCGCCGCTTGGCAGCAGTGACCACATAGTCATTGCTTTTACGTTTAGGATTCATTCTCTCATGCACAGGCCAAAATCTGCTCGTCCAAACATTTGGAAAGCGGGTATACAAGGAATCCGGAACGCAGCAACTGTGGTTGACTGGTCAGTTGATACAAGTCAGACTGTCGAGGAAGCTTGGGTAGGATTTAGGAATACACTAGATCGTGTCACTTCACCTTTTATACCTTGGTACACTCCTCGAAAGCCGTCGCATGAACCTCCTTGGATCACTAGTGAAATAAGGAGGTTATTAAGACGGCGAAAGAACTTATGGGACCAATTTGTTATGACAGGAAGGGAAAACTTCCAGAAAGACTACCGCAAAACTCGAAACCTCTGTAAGTATGCGATTAACAAGAGTCGTATAGAGTACGAGAGACGATTAGTACTAGATTGCGTTCATTACCCAAAAAGGTTTTACTCGTATATTAAACGTAGGACTAAAACTAGCAGTGGTATACCGTCACTCATAACCATTAGTGGAGAAGCGGCTGAGTCAGACGAAGGGAAGGCTGAAAACCTCTCTGAATACTTCTGTGACGTCTTCTCGTCTGATAGTACCACCCAGGGATATGGCGAGGTCACTGCCATCGCCACTCAGATGCCCTCAATTGTGGTAGAGCACACAAAGGTTCTGA